AAATTTACATAAGAAACAGCAAAGTTACGGGTTTGGCAGGATGAGTACCAGACAAGTAAAAACAGTAATTTGTATGGTGAGATTCTGAAACATAAGATATTACAGTAACAGATTCAATACAAATTAGAAATTACAGATTCCCATTCAGTAGTTTTGAGAATTTTTGTTTTCTAAAAAATTAGACTCCTGATCTCAGCCTTAGCACCTTTTTCTTGGAAACCTCTGTGCCATGAGAGCCAAGTGGAGGAAGAAGCGAAATGTGCAGGCTGAAGCGAAAAAGATGAGGCAGAGGTCAAAGTAACCTGCTAGCTTGTTGTACCCTGGAGGCCACAGAAGCAGAGATATGGAATGACAGACGCTGGGGAAGCTGGTACAAGTTGAGAGACTGCATGCTACCATCTTGTCTCGGTGGATCTAGAACTTCATCACCATCTGATCACCAATTACCGATCACCTCTGAGATCTACCTTACTCATAACCAAAACTGCCCATGTTGGTTCTTTGCCCTGGACCTGTGACATTCTAGACTATTTGTTTACTTACGGCCGGGTGTAACATCTATACAATAAATCTGCTAAGCTGAAGAATAAAAAAAAAAAAAAAATAGACACCTGGCTGCGTATGGTGGCTTATGCATGCAATCCCAGCACTTTGGGAGGCTAAGGGAGGTGGATCCCCTGAGGTCAAGAGTTCAAGACTAGCATGGTCAATATGGTGAAACCCTGTCTGTACTAAAAATACAAATTTAGTAGGGCACGGTAGCCTGCATCTGTAGTCTCAGGTAGTAAGGATGAGACAAAAATTGCTTGTATCTGAAAGGCGGAGGTTGTATCCAGCCGAAATAGTGCCACTGCACTCTATAGCCTGTGCAAGAGAACGAGACTCTGTCTCAAAAAAAAAAAAAAAAAAAAAAAGGAAGAACAAAAAATTATATATACCTTATTAAAATGACTTGTCTTGTACCAATATTGACATTTTATTCTGAAGTTACAAACTCATACTGAAACACAATTCATCATTTTCTTACACTTAATTTATATTTACACTAATTTAAATTTATATTCACACTAATACATGTGTATATTTAACTCTATGTAACTTAAAACTAAAGGTCTGTGTGTGTTTACAAGCATACAGGCCAAATAAAAAAGAATATAGAAGAGATTTTTAAAAGTATTTATTCAGGACTCAGTTATTTGTAAATTTTATTTATAATTGTATATAATTTTATTACTACAAAAATGACTGTACTAACAATCTACTTGTATATTTTTAAATAACTAAAACTATAGAATTGAATCCTTTGTATTAAAAAAATAAATTTTAGGTGACTGATATCTCATTTAACCCAATGTGATTATTATATATTGATGTCTCTATCAGAGTATGTATTTATAATAGATATACATAATATAAATATTATGTGACCAAAAAATTAACAGTAAATTTAAAGGCAAAAAATAAATAAATAACCTACAGGAACAATATTTCTTTGCAGTTTTAAGTCACTGGCGAAAAAGATGTTAGTCCATTATTTAACCAAATAGTGTATTCTTACCATCTTTTTTACCTACACCCTTGAGTAAAGGCGACTAGGTTAAGTGGAATAATAAGATTTAATCGAATGTGAAATATTTAAAATATAAAAAAGGTTGAATTAAGAAATTATATTCACATGTAATCTAAAATTTTTAACTTGTACATTTTGTTTCATAAAAGTAAAATTAGTAAAGTAATATACTACTAATTGATTTTAATATTTTTAACTTCCATTTATTTTATTGTACTAGATTATATGAAAAATCATTTCGTTGTCAAGCAAAAAAACAAAAGAAAGCTTCTTGTAATGTTTAAACAAGACACATGCATCTTGAAGGCCTCTTCTCTTATATTTATCTTAATGGTGAAATAGAGCATTGACAGAAGTGCATTTTGGCTCTGTTAGGATGTTTTGAATATAATCAAATGGTGCAGTGGACAGGTGTAAGTAATTATTTAAAAAAATCAAAGAGTGCATCTTTTTTTTAAGAAAACTTTTTAGCAATCGAAAAAAAATTTTTTTATTGCAGTTTAGGTTTGGGGGTACATGTGAAGAACATGCAAGATTGTTGCACAGGTACACACGTGGCAGTGTGATTTGCTGCCTTCCTCCTCATCACCTATATCTGCCATTTCTCCCATGCTATCTCTCCCCAACTCCTCACCCCCCACTGTCCCTCCCCTATTTCCCCCAACAGACCCCAGTGTGTGGTGCTCCCCTCCCTGTGTCCATGTGTTCTCATTGTCCAACAGCCGCCTATGAGAGAGAACATGCGGTGTTTGATTTTCTGCTCTTGTCAGTTTGCTGAGAATGATGGTTTCCAGATTCATCCATGTCCCTACAAAGGACACGAACTCATCGTTTTTGATGGCTGCATAATATTCCATGGTGTATATGTGCCACATTTTCCCTGTCCAGTCTATCATCGATGGGCATTTGGGTTGGTTCCAGGTCTTTGCTATTGTAAACTGTGCTGCAATGAACATTCGTGTGCATGTGCCCTTATAGTAGAACGATTTATAATCCTTTGGATATATACCCAGTAATGGGATTGCTGGGTCAAATGGAATTTCTAGGTCCTTGAGGAATTGCCACACTGTCTTCCACAATGGTTGAACTAATTTACACTCTCACCAACAGTGAAAAAGTGTTCCTAATTTTTTTTTTAAGATGTATTCTCACTCTCTTGTCCAGGCTGGAGTGCAGTGGCATGATCTTGGCTCACTGCAACCTCTGCTTCCTGGGTTCAAGTGTTTCTCCTGCCTCAGCCTCCCCGGTAGCTGGGACTACAAGTGTGCACCACCAAGCCTAATTTTTGTATTTTTAGTAGAGATGGGGTTTCACCATAGTGACCAGGCTGATCTTGAACTCCTGATCTGCCTGCGTTGGCCTCCCAAAGTGCTGGGATTACAGGTGTGAGCCACCACACATGGACAATTTAATTTTAGCTAAAATTAAAAATATTTGCCTCTCAATGTAATGCAGAAGAATATTACTCTGGACATCTACCTCATGCATCACTCAATATTGTAAGTTAACCACAAAGCATCTTTTTACTCACATTTTCATCATGCATTTTACATTTTAATGTACTTACTCTTTCATAAAAGACGTCATAAATGCTCACCTACAAAAAAATAATCTCGTATCTTTTTTTTTTTTTCAGATGGAGTTTTACTCCTGTCGCCCAGGATGGAGTACAGTGGTGGGATCTTGGTTCACTGCAACCTCTGCCTCCCAGGTTCAAGTGATTCTCTTGCCTCAGCCTCCCAACTGACTGGGATTACAAGCATGCACAACCACACCTGGCAGATTTTGTACTTTAGTAGAGATGGGGTTTCTCCATGTTAGTGAGACTGGCCTTGAACTCCCAAGCTCAGGTGGCCCACCCACTTCAGCCTCCCAAACCGCTGAGATTACAAGTGTGAGCCACTGTCCCTGGCCAATCTCTCAGATCTCTGATGCAGCAACAATTAGTCACATGTTTTCATGTATAAATATAATAGGGTAAAGAAACAGGATGGGTCAGGTACAGTAGCTAGCACCTGTAATCTCAGCATTTTTGGGGCTGAGCTGGGCAGATCACCTGAGGTCATGAGTTTGAGACCAGACTGGCCAACACGGCAAAACCCCATCTCTACTAAAAATACAAAACACAGCCAAGAGTGGTGGTATGTGCCTGTAATGCCAGATACTTGGCAGGCTGAGGCAAGAGAAGCACTGGAACCCAGGAGGTGGAAGTTGCAATGAGCTGAGTTCATGCCACTGCACTCCATCCTGGGTGACAGAGCAGGACTCTGTCTCAAAAATAAAAATAAACTAATTTCTTTAGCATGACGTACTTTAAGAGATAAATTACAATATTATTAGTATGAAGTAATTTGAGAGTTAATTACAATGTTGTAATCTTTCCAAAAATTAAGTATACTTGTAATGTAATTATAATTCTCCAAAAAAAAAAAAACTTTTTTTAAAGTTATAATTTTTCTACCAACTCTAGTTTTGGATTATTTTTTAAACTCAGAACTCTGATTTACTGTGTCAGTCAGTGCCTTATACATTTCTTGTTTTTTGTTTTTTGGGGTTTGAGGCCGAGTCTCACTCTGTTCCCCAGGCTGGAGTGCAGTGGTGCAATCTTGGCTAACTGCAACCTCCACCTCCCAGGTTCAAGTGATTCTTCTGCCTGAGCCTCCTAAGTAGCGGGAAATACAGGCACATTCTACCACACCTAATTTTTTTATTTTTAGTAGAGATTGGGTTTCACCATATTGACCAGGCTGGACTAAAACTCCTGACCTCATGATCCACCCACCTCAGCCTTCCAAGTGGCTGGGACTGCAAGTGTGAACCACCATGCCTGGCACACCTTATACATTTCTAATGTAAATTATCTGATATTTACATAGACTTAATTTTGGATTAAATGGTGTTTTTTTTCTATTTACTGTATCTGTACAAATATATTTTAGTATGAACACTGGAGTTTCCTAGCTCTACTTTTTTTTCCAAATTTATTATATTTGCAGGGATTTTGTTGGATATAAATTCTCCAATGTTGAACAAAGTTTGAGCAATAGCTTCAGGGCTTGTCTCTAATACATCATCATCTGCATTACAAATAAAGTTACTACAACTCTCTTTATGTTTGTGATGTCTGCCTTCAAAATAAGCCCTCTTCAGCACTTTAAAGGCTTACATTTTCTAAAGAATCTTTTGAGAAAATTACACTTTTAATGCTTTTATTAAGTATAAACTCTCTGATGTAGAGTAAGATTGTGAACAGACAGTAACCACTTTTTTACTTTCTTTGTATTTGTACATTTAAAATATGTGTTCCTGTGTAATAAGATATGAGCATTGTTAAAAGTTTTGCCACACTGTTCATACTTGTGGTTTTCTCCAGTATGAATTATCTTAGCTGGAATCAACTGTGACAACCATTTAAAAGCTTTGTCACATTACTCACACTTCCATGATTTCTCACCAGCACTGTTTCTTTTATGTTTGGAAATGTCTGAAGTGTTGTCACAGCATTATCACAACTTTTGGGTTTGCAGAGTTTCTCTTCAGTATGAATCATCTTACGTCTGCTAAGAATTGAGAACTAAAAGCTTTGCCACATTCTTTATACTTGTAGGGTTTCTCTCCATTATGAATTATCTTATGTCTAGTAAGGTTTGAGGACTGCTTAAAGCTATACCACATTCTTTACATTTGTAGGGTTTCTCTCCAGTATGAATTCTCTTATGTGTAGTAAGGGTTGAGGATTGGATAAAAGCTTTGCCACATTCTTCACCTTTGTAGGGTTTCTCTCCAGTATGCATTTTCTTATGTGCAGTAAGGTGTGAAAACCAGATAAAGTCCTTGCCACAATCTTAGTATTTGTAGAATTTCTCTTCAGTATGAATTATCTTATGTGTAGTAAGGGTTGAGGACTGGCTAAAACCTTTGCCACAGTCTTCATATTTGTAGTGTTTCTCTCCTATGAATTACCTTATGTTTACAAAGAGTTGACAACCGGTTAAAAGCTTTGCCACATTCTTCACATTTGTAGTGTTTCTCACCAGTATGAATTCTGTTATGTGTAGTAAGGGTTGAGGACCGGTTAAAAGCTTTGCCACATTCTTCACATTTGTAGGGTTTCTCTCCAGTATGAATTTTCTTATGTCTAGAAAGCGTAGAGGAACAGTTATAAGATTTGCCACATTCTTTACATTTGTAGGGTTTCTCTCCAGTATGAATTACCTTATGTCTACTAAGGTTTGAGTACTGGTTAAAAGCCTTGCCACAGTCCTCACATTTGTAGGGTTTCTCTCCAGTATGAATTTTCTTATGTGAAGTGAGGTATGCAGACCGGGTAAAAGCTTTGCCACATTCCTCACATTTGTAGGGTTTCTCTCCAGTATGAATTCTTTGATGCATAGTAAGGTATGAAGATCGGATAAAAGCTTTGCCACACTTTTCACATGTGTAGGGTTTCTCTCCAGTATGAATTCTCTTATGTGCAGTACAGTATGAGGATCGCTTAAAGGCTTTTCCACATTTTTCACATTTGTAGGGTTTCTCTCCAGAATGAATTCCCTTATGTTTAGTAAGTTGTGAGGACTGGCTAAAAGCTTTGACACAGTCTTTACATTTGTAGGGTTTCTCTCCAGTATGAATTCTCTTGTGTGTAGTAAGGTTTGTAGATTGGTTAAAAGCTTTGCCACATGACTCACGTTTGTAGGGTTTCTCTCCAGTATAAATGATCTTATGTCTATTGAGGTGTGAAAATTGCTTAAAGGTTTTCCCACATCCTTCAAAGTTGTAGAGTTTTGTTTCAGTATTAATTATTTTACAGGTAGAACGGCTTGAGGTCCCATTATAGGCTTTGTCACATTCTTTAAATTTGCAGCATCTTTCCCCAATATGAATTATTTTATGTTGAGCTAAGTGTGAAAGCGTGCAAAATGACTTTTCACAGTCTTTACATTTGAAAGGGTTCTTTCCAGTTTGTCTTATCTTATGTCTGTTTGAATTTGAAAATTTATCAGAGACTTTCACAAATTTGTTACATTGAAATATTTTGCACTGGGTAGTTGTCGAACACTGGTTAAGTCCATTGTAACATTCTTTGTGCAACTTCCACTCATCCATGCTTTGACAACATTTTCTTAACTGTAAATTTTCATGTCCGCATCTTTTATATCTTCTCAATATTTTTTGGAAACAATTTTTTATGCCCTGCTTTGGCCAAAGGTCTTGGGCAAAATAAGAACATACAACTGAAAGAAATAATAGTAACAAATTACTACACTTACTAGACTCAGATGAATGTATTTTACAAATCTTACCTATAAAATTATACAAACTACATCACAAGACGGCATAGGAAAATATTACAGGCAAGTATTTTTTTCACAGACATTTAAATGTAACAAAAACATACAGACCAAATTACATTTGTAAAAAATTAAAGTAACTGTGTGTAATGCCCCTGGTGTGCCCAATGCAAAAAGCCACATAGAAGAAAAGTCTGTTACATTTACCCAACACAGATCTTCCTGCTTCTCAATATAACATAGTGACTTGAAATAAATTGCCAACTCCTGATTTCTTTTTTAAAACTGAAGTAAAATACTGCCATATACAACTTTATTTCTGGATGGTAGGGTCTTTTACAGATACTGGTTCCTGTCTCTCATAAAAAGTTCTGAAATAGTGGTATTTTTTCAAACGGCAGCTGAAACAAAAGGCAAGGTTTACAGCAGCAGAGACTGTGGTTATCACAGACAGCAAACAATTGTAGCCAGTGATTATTGGTTATCCAAAAAAACATAAATTGTCTGAATGTGGTGGTTCACACCTTTAATACTAGCACTTTGGGAGGCTGAGGTGGGGAGATGACCTGAGGTCAGGAGTTTAAGACCACCCTGGACAACATGGTAAAACCCTGTCTCTACCAGAAATACAAAATTAGCTGAGCATGGAGATACATGCCTGTAATCCCAGCTATTTGAGAGGCTGAGACAGGAGAATCACTTGAACCTGGGAGGCAGAGGCTGCAGTGAGCTAAGACCATTTCACTGCACTCCAGCCTGAGTGACAGGAGTGAAATTCTGTCTCAACAAAAGGAAGGAAGGAAGGAAGGGAGGGAGGGAGGGAGGGAGGGAGGGAGGAAAGGAAAGGAAAGGAAAGGAAAAGAAAAGAAACAAAGAAACAAAGAAAGAGAAAGAAAGAAAGAAAAGAGAAAGAAAGAAAGAAAAGAAAGAAAGAAAGAAAGAGAAAAGAAAAAGAAAGGAAAAAAGGAAAAGAAGAAGGAGAAATATGAATCAACTCCTTTAACTAAAAATTTTTAAAAATCACAGACAAGAAGAAAGTCTTGGAAGCTGCAAGGTAAAAGTAATGTGTCATTTACAAACATAGTGTTAGAAAATTTTACACAAGGCACATTCTAACAACATGTTTAAGAGACTCCTAGAATCTCTAGCCAAGATAATTGTTTTCAGACTATGTCAGAAAAAACTTTATTTTAAAGACTGTGGGAGGTAGCTTTTTTTTAAGTAATCAAATCTCAAAGAGTACAAAACAGGGCAATATTATTTTATCAAAAATGTTATATAATTTCCAGAAAGAAACCATAAAAAGGTGTACGCATTAACTTTAAACACTGATAATAAATTGAGTAATACTGAATGAGTGAAATAGGAACACAGACTGCTATAGAAAACCAAAAAAAGAATAAAAACAAAAATATCTAAAATATTTTTTTTAATTTTGGGGGTAAAAAATTTAAAGATCAGTAACAGAAAAATCCCAAAAGTAAAAAAGAAAAGACATAAAAGTGAAGAGGTTCAACAAACAAATGGGATACATGCAAAAATATTTATTTAAAAAAAATATATATATATAAGCACATTTTCAAAAATCACAGACAAGAAAAAGGTCTTGGAAGCTGCAAGATAAAAGTAATGTGTCATTTACAAACACAGTGTAAAGATATAACCAGTAAATTATCAACAAAAATTTTACAGGCCAGAAAGAAACCATGTGACACAGTTAACGTTCTGGTGGGGCTGGGGTGGGGGAAGGCTATCAAGGGAGAATAATAACCATCAACAAAGCTGTCCTGCCAAAAGACCAGCCTGGCCAACACAGCGAAACCCTATCTTTACTAAAACAGAAAACTTAGCGGGGCGTGCCTGTAGTTCCACCTACCCCATAGGCTAAGACAGGAGAATCGCTTGAACCCAGAAGGCAAATGCAGTAAGCTGAGATTGCAACGCTGCACTCCAGCCTGACAACAGAGTGAGACGCAGGGGGTTGGGGGTGGGGGATGTTTGAAATAACGGAATTCCAAAAAATATATTGGCACTGCATATGCTGTACATATAAAAGATGCTGAAAACACTTTCTTAAACTGAAAATCAAAAAATTCAAGAAAAAAAAACATAAAATTACATTATTTTCTGGGAAAGATATGCACATGCACAAAAACAGAATACCATAATAATGCAGAAATAACTGTAAATTATTATCTAATATTTGAAAAAATAAAGGCACAGAAATTGCAAAGATCTGATAATGAATATTCAATGTAAAAACATAATTAGAGGCCGGGCGCGGTGGCTCAAGCCTGTAATCCCAGCACTTTGGGAGGCCAAGGCGGGTGGATCACAAGGTCGAAAGATCGAGACCAACCTGGTCAACATGGTGAAACCCCGTCTCTACTAAAAATACAAAAAAAAAAAAAAAAAAATTAGCTGGGCATGGTGGCGCGTGCCTATAATCCCAGCTACTCAGGAGGCTGAGGCAGGAGAATTGCCTGAACCCAGGAGGCAGAGGTTGCGGTGAGCCGAGATCGCGCCATTGCACTCCAGCCTGGGTAACAAGAGCGAAACTCCGTCTCAAAAAAAAAAAAAAAAAAAAAAAAAAAAAACAAAATTAGAAACATCAGTGACAAATTTCAGGGCAGATGTTATGAGAAAAATTTTTTTATTCAACTTTAGTTTATTTTGTACCAAATTAAAAATGTTGTTTCTTACAGGTTTTATGTAACCCCCAAGGTACCAAAAAAAAAAAAAAATCTTTGTGTATACATACACAAAAGTGAATTCGAAGTAAGTAAAAGCATATCAATGTAAAATCTGAAGACACAAAAAAAGAGAGGAAATGAGAAACAAAGATGAAAGAATCAAATAATTAAAAACCTAACAGTACATATTTTGCTTTTATTACATATATATATATAGCTTTCAAATAAAGTACATTCAATAAATAAATTTATTAAAAATTTAAAGACCAGGCTATGCATGGTAGTTCAGACCTGTAATCCCAACACTTTGGAAGGCTGAGGCGGGCTGATCACAAGGTCAACAGATCAAGACTATCCTGACCAACATGGTGAAACTCCATCTCTACTAAAAATACAAAAATTAGCTGGACACGATGGTGCAGGCCTGCAGTCCCAGATACTCAGGAGGCTGAGGCAGGAGAATCGCTTCAACCAGGGAGGCGGAGGCTGCAGTAAACTGAGATCGAATCACTGCACTCCAACCCAGCAGCAGTGCAAGACTCCATCTCAAAAAAAAAAAAATAATAATTGAAAACCAAGGTCCAACTTTTTTTCTCTACAAAAGTCAGTTGAGATCTAGTGATAAAAAAAACTGAAAGGGGTAAGATGGAAGTAGACATTTCATGCAAGTATGGATCAAATGAGAGCAGAAAAAATTAAAATACCATACAAGGTTTATCTTAAGTCAAAAATATACTTCAAGTCAAATCTCCAAGGAGACAAAAAAAGACACTAAAACTTACGGATTTAGGCCAGGCACAGTGGCTCACATGTGTAATCCCAACACTTCGGGAGGCTGAGGCAGGCAGATCACTTGAGGTCAGGAGTTTGAGACTGGTCTGGCCAACATGGTGACACCCTGTCTCTACTAAAATCAGAAAAATTAGCCAGGCATGCTGGTAGGTACCTATAATCCTAGCTTTCTGGAAGGCTGAGGAAGGAGAATTGTTTGAACCCAAAAGGCAGAGGTTACAGTGAGTGGAGATCACACCACTGCACTTCAGCCTGGGCAACACAGTGAAACTCTGTATGTATTTAAAAAAAAAAAAAAAAGAGGCCGGGCGTGGTGGCTCACACCTGTAATCCCAGCACTTTGGAAGGCCGAGGCGGGTGGATCACGAGGTCAAAAGATCGAGACCATCCTGGTCAACATGGTGAAACCCCGTCTCTACTAAAAATACAAAAATTAGCTGGGCATGGTGGCGCAGGCCTGTAGTCCCAGCTACTAGGGAGGCTGAGGCGGGAGAATTGCTTGAACCCAGGAGGTGGAGGTTGCAGTGAGCCGAGATCGTGCCATTGCCCTCCAGCCTGGGTAACAAGAGCGAAACCCCGTCTCAAAAAAAAAAAAAAAAAAAAAAAAAGTATAGATTTATTCACTGGAAACCTATGACAAATTTGTATACACATGTATACAAATATATCACATTAGGGCTTTAAACATATAAAGCAAATACTGACAGAATAAGATAAAGAAATAGCAACATAATTGTAGTAGGATATTTCAATACTCCACTTTTTGTAATAAAAAATGAGAATATTAGTAAGGAAATAGAAGAATTACAGTTATTATAAGACAATTATTTGTAACAGAGGTATAGAAAACACTCCTTAACATCAGGATACACATGGTTTTCAATAGCTAATACAACATTTTCCTTCATTGAACACCTCTTAGGCCAAAGAGAAAGTCTTACCAAACTTTTAAAAACTGGTATTTTATAAATGACTTTCTATCATCAAAATGAAATGAGTATCCAATTAAATAAAATAAAAACTAAAAAATTCACAAAAACAACACACTCTTGTCTTGAGGATGCCCTTCTGAAAGGCTGGAAAAGGGAATACTGTAATGATGTTCACCCTTCTCAATGCAATCTACAGATTTAATGCAAAGTTTTTCAAATTTCTCAATGGATTTTTTTACAAAATAGAAACAACAATCCCGAGTATATAGAATCTCGAAAGACAATAAAGTAGCCCAAAATATTGAAAACAAAACCAAACAATGTTGAGGGCATTACAGTTTCTGATTTCAAAACAAATTACAAAGCTACAGAATTAAAGCAATTTGGTATGAGTATAAAAGTAAACAAGTAGGCCGGGTGTGGTGGCTCACACCTGTAATCCCAGCACTTTGGGAGGTTGAGGGGAGTAGATCATGAAGTCAGGAGTTTGAGTCCAGCCTGGCCAACATGGTGAAACCCCATTTCTACTAAAAATAAAAGTTAAAAAATAGCTGGGCATGGTGGCGTGTGCCTGTAGTCCCAGCAGCTCAGGAAGCTGAGGCAGAAGAATCACTTCAACCCAGGAGGCAGAGATTGCAGTGAGCTGAGATCATGCGATTGCACTCCAGACTGGCTGACAGAGCAGGACTTCATCTCAAAAACAAAAAAAAGAAAGTAGACTCATGTTGTAGTGAGCCAAGATTGTGCCACTGCACTCCAGCCTGGGTGACAGAGTGAGACTGCATCTCAAAATTAAAAAAAAAAAAAAACTTGAATGCAATAGAATGCAGCACATAACTCTCACATATATGGTTATATGAAGTCATCTGGACACCAATAATTATTTTAGTATTGTTACTGAAAGCCAATAGGTAAAAGGAATGCAAATTTCTGTCACCAAATCGTTCAATAAATATAATTTGAAATATAAAAATACCAAAGTATTTACTCAGTTTGCAAAAACACAGGAAATATTCTAACTGTAAAGGTATATTTTGATGGTATTATGCAAAATAAAATGAGCCAGCCACAAACATGTTTGAAAAGTACCAGGAAATGGAAAATAAGTGCCAGTTGTTTAACGTATAGTATAAAATTTTTAGAAATCTTTAATAAAACAATGCAAATATACCTAACATGCCTGCAATGTACAGTGATTTTGAGTCATGGTCTTACTACTCTGTCACCGAAGCTGGAGTGCATGGTACAATTATGGCTCACTGCAGCCTCAAACTTCAAGGTTCAAGTAATCCTCCCTTCTCAATCTCCCAAGTAGATAGAATCACACTACTATGTCTGGCTAGTTTTTAAAATGTTTTATAGAAATGAAGTCTCCATATGTCTCCCAGGCTGTTCTCAAGGTTTTGGACTCAAGAAGTCTTCCAGCCTTGGCCTCCACAAATCCGGGAATTACAGGTGTAAACCACCACCATGACTGGCCATGAAAAGTACACTTAAATATATTTAAGATGGTAAATTTTACAGAGCTATTAATGTTTTCAAAAATTACCTCCAAGTCACAAAACTGTTTCTCTCACACAAAGAAAATATATATTTTTTATTAAGCACAAGGCGAAAATAACACTATTTTCATGACTACTTAGACAAGATAAAGCCACCATGAAAAACCAGCTAAGAAAACATAAATACAAGATTAACCATAACCAAAATTGGGGACATATTTATAAATAAAAACACGCACATATATAATCAGACTGTAATAGACATATGGCTAATTTATCTCTTAATGAAACCCCACACCAACTTACGTGTGTAAACAGAATTGCAAACCATCTAAAATTATAAAATCAAAAAACACAACAAACTTATGTTAAGAAACGTACACTGAAAAAACTCACTAATATGAAACTACAGAACAATTAATGTTTACTCATAAAATCTGGTATGCAACATCAATGTAGCATTAACAACGAATTTGTGTAGGTAACTGTAATAGTTTACTGTAACTGTGTACTCATTGAAGGTAGCTATTTTGAATCACTGGCATACACTGTAATGTAGTAAAGTTTCAGATAAAATGCAGTATAATCATAAACAGAAGACTCTAATGACAAACATGATAAATAAGCATTTTAATAAATGAGATAATTTTTAAGTTTTAAATATATACTATTCTCAAACTAAAACTATGTAATCCAACTTTATAAGCAAAGAATAGCCATATATTGCTAAATAAAGAAAAAATTATGTTATATTTTAGATACAGGCTGACAAAAGTGAGTAAAAATCCTATCATCTAGGCCAGGCACGGTGGCTCAAGCCTGTAATCCCAGCACTTTGGGAGGCTGAGGCAGGTGGATCACGAGGTCAAGAGATCGAGACCATTCTGGTCAACATGGTGAAACCCCGTCTCTACTAAAAATATAAAAAATTAGCTGGGCATGGTGGCGCGTGCCTGTAATCCCAGCTACTCAGGAGGCTGAGGCAGGAGAATTGCCTGAACCCAGGAGACGGAGGTTGCGGTGAGCCAAGATCGCGCCATTGCACTCCAGCCTGGGTAACAAAGTGACTGTCTCAAAAAAAAAAACAAAACCTATCATCTTTCTTCGCCTGCCTACTAATTATCTAATTCACTTCAGGCATAAAATGTAAGTTCTAGTACATTGTTCTAAATGTCTAAATCTAAAATTACAGACAAAATCAAAATAGAAAATAAAAAGTAAAAAGGTACAGTGACATCACTAAGATGGGAAAATAAAACGTGTCCTATTTGCCTATTTTCTGACAGCAAGAAAATTCATAAGCCATCCCCAACAAAAATGCCTTTACAAGAGAAACAGAAATCATGGCTCAAACCTGTAATGACAGCTACATGGTACATTACGTCAGAGAACTGCTTCAGGCCATAATTTCAAGACCAGCCTGGATTATGTAGCAAGACCCCATCTAAAAAATAAGTGCCCTTAAGAGAGCTTTGAGATCCAGGGAAGGAGCTGTAAAACTGCTAATGCCCAAGACTGAGGAACGCTGTTTTCATAAGACAGGCTTACTTTGAAATAAAGGATACATCAATAAAAAAATTGAAACAACAAAAATAAATTTAAAAACATTTCATGTCTATTGATTGAAAGAAAATTGTTAAAGTGCCATATTATCCATAGTGATCTCTAGATTCAATAAACTCCCTATCAGAATTCCATTTTTTTTTTTTAATAAAGATGGGGTTTCACCATGCTGGTCAGGCTGGTCTTGAACTCCCGACCTCAGGTGATCCACCCACCTTGGCCTCCAAAGTGCTTGCATTACAGGCGTGAGCCGCCACACCCGGCCTCCAGTAGTTTTTACAGTAATAGAAAATACAATTCTAAAATTCACGTAGAACTACAAAAGACTTTGAATAGCCAAAGCAATCATTAAAAAAAGAACAAAGCGGAAGAGCACCATACTTTATAATTTCCAACTATAATTCAAGACTATAGAAGACAAAATGTACATGCAGAAAACTAAGTAATAAAAACAATGGAAAAGAAACCACTATTCCCACCTATTTTAGATGTAATGTAAAAAAGAACTTAAAAAACAGTTTAACATGCAGTTTCTCAATGTCACGCAGATATCAGCGTGTTCTGAAAAACAATAAAAAAGCAGTGAAATTTTGCAGCCTCTTACATGCCACGAAGAGGACTTTGGCTGGCACTGTAAACTCGAAGAAACGTCACTGAAGGGAAACTAAAATTTTCAGAGATTTTAAAAAGATAAGACAGAAGAGTTTCTATGTGAGAGCAAAATTTAAAAAAAAAAACAAACAGGCTTTCCAGAAACTACTTCCTTTGGAACACAAAGTTCCAACTCATTTCAAGGACTGGCTTTTTTCCTACTTTGGACAGCTCATCTGTGTCGTCTGTTCTACTCACTGGCACTCGCGCCTACCTGGGAGTCCGGCTACCATCTCATGTCTCCTCACATTCCAAGGCTCTTCTCCTTGCTCCAGACAGGTGATCAGGTCTGGCTTAAAGGCAGCAATACCTGTTTTATTTAAAATTACATAAATCTTGCTTATATTCTCCAATTACCAACTTAGCAGTGTGCTCAGTGAAAAGAATGCAAAAGAATACTCTAGTAAATTCTAAAATACTAATTTATAACAACAAATTTTAAATATTTGGGAAATATTTTAATTGTGTAAGTTCTTGATTTCACTACCTGGTACCACTAAATCAACAATCAGTAGTGGCAATTAGATTTTAAGATTTGGGCGACAGTATGCTATGCCACTGAATTTCTACAATTAACACTAATCTAGAGTGAAGGACACGGATCAGCTCAGGAATGTGGAAACTTCAGGTCAAAATTAAACATCCTAAAATTCTTTTTTATATAAATAAAGTTTAGGCTGCACGTGGTGGCTCACGCCTGTAATCCAAGCACTTTGGAGGACAAGGCGGGCGGATCACCTGAGGTTGGGAGTTTAAGACCAGCCTGACCAACGTGGTGAAACCCCGTCTTAAAAAAAAGGGGGGGGAGCGGGGGGAGGACCGGGCGCGGTGGCTCAAGCCTGTAATCCCATCACTTTGGGAGGCTGAGGCGGGGGGATCATGAGGTCAAGAGATCGAGATCATCCTGGTCAACATGGTGAAACCCCGTCTCTACTAAAAATACAAAAAATTAGCTGGGCATGGTGGCGCGTGCCTGTAATCCCAGCTACTCAGGAGGCTGAGGCAGGAGAATTGCCTGAACCCAGGAGGCGGAGGTTGCGGTGAGCCGAGATCGCGCCATTGCACTCCAGCCTGGGTAACAAGAGCGAAACTCCGTCTCAAAAAAAAAAAAAAAATGGGGGGGCCCACGGGGCTAGGGCGCCCTCGGCCGGCGCCGCGGCTTTGGTCTGAGTGTTCCGCTGCGGGAAGCGGCAGGGTGGACTTGGGCTCTGGTGTCCGGTAAAACCATGGCTGGCGCGCTGGTGCGGCAAGCGGCCGACTCTGTCCGAAGCAAGGATTTCCGGGACTACCTCATGAGTACGCACTTCTGGGGCCCAGTAGCCAACTGAGGTCTTCCCATTGCTGCCATCAATGACATGAAAAGGTCTCCAGAGATTATCAGCGGGCGGATGACATTTGCCCTCTGTCGCTATTCTTTGACATTCATGAGATCTGCCTACAAGGTACAGCCTCGGAACTGGCTTCTCTTTGCACGCCACGCAACAAATGCAGCAGCCCAGCTCATCCAGGGAGGGCGGCTTATCAAACATGAGATGCGTAAAAAGGCATCTGCATAACAATGGAAAATGAAGAGCAAGCTCTTGAAGGACACCACTGCCAGCTGCTGCTGAGTCACAGATTTCACTATGAATAGCCTCACTAAGGAAAATATGCTGAATGCTATTTTTATTAGCCATTCTATTTTTATAGAAATAGCTGAGAGTCTCTTAACCAACTCTCTGCTGCCTTACAAGTACTAAATATTTTACTTCTTTCCATAAAGAGTAGCTCAAAATATGCAATTTAATAATTTCTGATGATGGTTTTATCTGCAGTAACATGTATATTATCTATTAGAATTTACATAATGAAAAACTGAAGAGAACAAAATTTATAACTACTAGTACTTAAGTACTCCTACTTCTTGACATTGTCGTTAATGACCACAAGACAACCGACAGCTGGCCACATACCTAGAATCTTGTCCCCACTGTTTAAAAATGTTATCTGTGTATTTCCATGCAGTGTGTATATTGAGATGCTGTAACTTAATGGCAATAAAAGATTTAAATATTTGTTTAAAAAAAAAAGTTTTAAAAAATTGACAGATCTGAAAGCATAAACCAAAAACCATTCTACAATCAATCAATCAATCAATCAATCTTACAGGGTGTATTAAGAAATTGTGTATTGAAGTTATGCTCACCCAGAAAGACCAGGTTTCTGTAGTTCTCTAACATCACATTCCTATATAAATTCTGTTGTGCAGTGTCCAGGCATTGCCACTCCTCCAGGCAGAATTCTATGGCCACATCCCTAAATGTCAACACTCCCTGAAAAACACACAAACACACACACATACACATATATATTTACCAAGTGGTCAGGAGCAGAACTTCTAATTTGACTCAAGTTAAAATAAGAATAAAGAGAAGTGGTTCTTACTTACACACGTGACTGAAAATATCTAATAAATAACTTTCAACGCAGAAATATTCTCTAATGTATTCTCTAAGCCCGAGAAAAGAGAGTGGCCTAAGATCCACAGCATCACAATGTAGATGGTACTTTTCTAGATGATGAAGTACAAAACTGAAGGCATAAACACTAACATGTACATTTTTGAGTGCTACATTTACATCATACAGAATGAGCTGTGTAAATTTTTCAGAGGGAAAAGACATACTGAGTTATAAAGTACTGCTTAAATTTTAATGTGTACAATAAACTGGAGATCATGTTAATGTCGATTATTTTTTCAGAAAATCTGGAATAAAATCTGAGTTTCTGAATCTCTAACAAGCTCACCACTAATGCCAATGTTTTTGGCACAAAAAAACTATTTTGTCAAACATCCAGTAAGTGAAAGAGCCTGTGTGTTTTTCAGTTTTTGTGGCCTGTAAACAAAGATGAGCACTTTAATTTTCCAAAGACAGATAAATGCAAAGGAAATCTAAGAAAGGACAGCTGCCAGATTAGAAGTGATTATCCACATCAGCTGCATAAAGATACTTAATAATGAAGACAAAAATAATTAACTCTACAGAAAAAAAAACCTCTCAGAAAGCTCATTAACCAAGTGGGTTATTAACATAAACTGCATGAAGACAAATTTCTATGACATGCTGAGGCACACAGAAAGATGCAGCATCACAGCCTTCTCAAAAATAAATATAGTCTGAACTTAATCATAAAGAAACATTGGTTTGGCCAGGCATGGTGGCTCACGCCTGTAATCTGAGCACTTTGGGAGGCCGAGGCTGGCAAATCACGAGATCAAGAGATCAAGACCATCCTGGCCAATATGGTGAAACCCCATCTCCACTAAAAATACAGAACTCACAAGCATTCCCATAAAGCAACAATAAAGAATCCGAGTGCCAAATCCTACATGACCTTTACAATCACCACAAAAAGAATAAAATACCTAGAAATACAGTTAACAAGGAATGGGAAAGACTTCTTCAAGGAGAACTACAAACCACTACTCAAGGAATTAGAACAGCACATAATCAAATGGAAAAACATTCCATCATCATGGACAGTAAGAATCAACATCAGCCTAGGTGTGGAGGCTCAGACCTGTAATCCCAAGTACTTTGGGAGGCAGAGGCAGTTGGATCACCTAAGGTCAGGAGTTTAAGACCTGCTTGACCAACATAGAGAAATCCTGTCTCTACTAAAAAATTAAAAAATTAGCTGGGTGTGGCGGTGCATGCCTATAATACCAGCTACTCAGGAGGCTGAGGCAGGAGAATTGCTTGAATTGCTTGAACACAGGAGGTGAAGGTTTCAGTGAGCTGAGTTCATGTCATTGCACTCCAGCCTGGGCAACAAGAGAAAACACCATCTCAAAAAAAAAAAAAGAAAAAAAGAAAGACAGAATCAACATAATGAATAGTGGCCATACTGCCCAAAGTAATTTATGAATTCAATGCTATTCCTGTCAAACTACCGTTGGTATTCTTCACAAAATTAGGGGGAAAAAAGTACTTTAAATTTCATATGGAACCAAAAAAGAGCCTGTATAGCCATGACAATCCCAAGCAAAAGTAATAAAGATGAAAGCACCACACTACCTGACTTCAAACTATACTACAAGGCTACAGTAACCAAAACAACATGGTACTGGTACAAAAACTTACAGACCAATGAAACAGAAAAGCGACCTCAGAAATAACACCACACTTCTATAACCATCTGATATTAAACAAACCTGACAAAAACAAGCAATGGAAAAGGACTTTCTCTTCTATAAATACTGCTGAAAAAACTGACTAGCCATATGCAGTTAATTGAAACTAGACCTCTTCCTTAAATCTTCTACAAAAATTTACTCAAGATGAATTAAAGACTTAAATGTGGCCAGGCATGGTGGCTTCACGCCTGTAATCCCAGCACTCTGGGAGGCTGAGGTGGGCAGATCACGAGGTCAAGAGATCGAGACCATCCTGGCCAACAGGTAAAACATCATTTCTACTAAAAATACAAAAATTAGCCGGGTGTGGTGGCATGTGCCTGTGGTCCCAGCTACTCGAGAAGCTGAAGTGGAAGAATCACTTGAACCCAGGAGGCAGAGGCTGCAGTGAGCCGAGATTGAGCCACTGCACCCCAGCCTGGCAACAGAGCAAGACTCTGTCTCAAAAAAAACGAAACAAAAAAAAGACTTAAATCTAAAAGCTAGAAGAAAACCTAGGAAGCCAGGTGCTGAGGCTCACACCTGTAATCCCAGCACTTTGGGATGTCAAAATGGGTACATTACCTGAGGTCAGGAGTTTTGAGACCACCTTGACCAACAATGGAGAAACCCCATCCCTACTAAAAATACAAAAAATTAGCCAGGCGTGGTGGCACATGTCTGTAATTTCAACTACTTGGGAGGCTGAGGCAGGAGAATTACTTAAACTTTAAAGGAGGAGAAGGTTGCAGTGAGCCAAGATCACCTCATTGCATTTCAGCCTGGGCAAGAAAGACAGAAAAGAGGCCGGGTGCAGTGGCTCAAGCCTGTAATCCCAGCACTTTGGGAGGCCAAGACAGGTGGATCATGAGGTCAAGAGTTCGAGACCATCCTGGTCAACATGGTGAAACCCCGTCTTTACTAAAAATACAAAAGTTAGCTGGGCATGGTGGTGCACGCCCGTAGTCCCAGCTACTCAGGAGGCTGAGGCAGGAGAATTGCTTGAACCCAGGAGATGGAGGTTGCAGTGAGCCGAGATCATGTCATTGCACTTCAGCCTGGGTAACAAGAGTGAAATTCCATCTCAAAAAAAAAAAAGAAAGAAAGACTGAAAAGAAAGAAAGCAAAGAATAAAAGAAAAGAAAAAAAAAAAAAAATCTAGGAACTACCATTCAGGACATAGGCATGGGCAAAGATTTCATGACAAAAAACGCCAAAAGCAATTGCATCAAAAGCCAAAACTGACAAATAAGATCTAATTAAACTACAGAGCCTCTGCGCAGAAAAAGAAACTATCATCAGAGTGAACAGGCAACCTACAGGATGGGAGAAAAATTTTACAATCTACCCATCTGATAAAGGTCTAATATCCAGAATTTACAAGTTTGTTTTCAAACAATCTCATCAAAATTGGGCAAAAGATAAACACTTCTCAAAGACATTTGTACAGCCAACAAAAATATGAAAAGTAGCTCAACATCACTGATCATTAGACAAAACCAATCAAAACCACAATGAGATATCATCTCACACTAGTCAGAAAGGTGATTCTTAAAAAGTCAGAAACAATAGATGCTGGTGAGGCTGTGGAGAAATAGAAATGCTTTTACACTGTTGGTGAAAATGTATATTAGTTCAACCATCATGGAAGACAGTGTGGTGATTCCTCAAGGATTTAGAACCAGAAATAACATTTGACACAGCAATCCCATTACTGGGAATATACTCAAAGGAATCTAAGTCATTCTACTACAAAGACACATGCACATGTATGTAATAGTTTATTGCATCACTATTTACAAAGCAAAGATATGGAACCAATCCAAATGTCCATCAATAAAAGAATGTATAAGTAAAATGTGGTACATATACACCATGGCATAATATGCAGCCATAAAGAGAAATAAGATCATGTCCTTTGCAGGAACATGTATTAAGCTGGAAGTCATCATCCTTAGCAAACTAACACAGTGATAGAAAACCAAAAAAACACACATTCTCACTCATAAGTAAGAGTTGAACAATGAGAACACATGGACACAGGGAGGGGAACAACACACACCAAGGCCTGTTGTGAAGTGGCCTCCCACATAGAGGACAGGTCAATATGTGCAGCAAACCACCATGGTACACATTTACCTATGTAATAAACCTACACATTCTGCGTATGTATCCAGAAACTTAGAATAAGTATTCAGTATTTCATCATTGCCAGGTGTGGTGGCTCACGCCTGAAATCCCAGTACTTGGAAAGGCCAAGTCAGGTGGATCACCTGAGGTTGGGAGTTCAAGACCAGCCTGACCAACATGTGGAAACCCCATCTCTACTAAAAATACAACAGTTAGCTGGGCGTGGTGGCACATGCCTGTAATCCCAGCTACTTGGGAGGTTGAGGCAGGAGAATTGCTTGAACCTGAAAGGCACAGGTGTCAGTGAGCTGAGACTGTGCCTTGCACTCCAGCCTGGGCAACAAGAGCAAAACTCCATCTTAAAACAAAACAAAACAGAAATCATTATTAAGAAATCCTTTTTTTTTCTCTTTCTCCTTCTTCTCTAGGATTTCTTCTCAGATAAGATTCTCTGGAAAAATTACACCTGCATCTTGAGAATATGCCTTGAATGGTGCCAACACCACGTTTACCTGCTACCACCATACCCATAGGTAGAAGAACCAAGACAGAAAAACTCCACCTATTTTGTACTTTCTAACAGAAGAGATTCAGAAACAATAAGCTGCTCCACAGATTTTAAAATATACATATGAGTTTCTCCTTTTCTGTCCTCAGGCGCCCTCCCCTGCCAACAATTTCTGCTACAATAATGAAAATATAAGCCATATGCCCTGTCCCTAGGAAACCCAAAGAAAAGAGGCTCTAGAACCACCTTTTAGTGGACAGGTGAATCCTAACTCTCACAAATGCATCTTAAATCCCCTATTCTTGATTCTGGCCACAACTTAAGAGTTACATGAGGCAGTTAATTAACACAACATGAATGCGTCCACCCAGAACATTAATTGGAAAGTGTGGCAGGAAGGGCACCAGTAAAGATATTTCTGAAAATTAGCCATGTGATTCTAATTACAACCTAAACTTATAACCACTTAACTAGGCATTGCATCTCAAGCTTTAATGAGATTATAAATCACTTGGTAACGTTGGTCCCACTCTATGTAATCTGATTCTACAAGTTTGGAAAGGGTTCATGAATGGGTGTTTTACATAAGACACCTGCCAATGCTGATGATGCTCCCCCTGTTCTCATTATTAGCATTAGAGAAAGCAGGCACAACACAAAGTCTCTTGGCACTCTTGTCACAACACAGATACTTTTCACAAAAATAAAGACCACTAATCTCCATCTTAAAGTACCATATCTTTGCTGGCTTTCTAAAGTTTACAGAGAAAACACAAAGCAGCAATATCTGACTAAGTCTGAATTTATTTATTTATTTAGACGGAGTCTCACTCTGTTACACTAGCTGGAGTGCAGTAATGAGATCTGCACTTACTGCAACCTCTACCTCCCAGATTCAAGCAATTCTCCTTCTTGAGCTTCCCTAGTAGCTGGGATTACAGGTTTGCACCACAACACCTGGCTAATTATTATTATTAATTTTTTGTACTTTTAGTAGAGACAGGGTTTTACCATGTTGGTCAGGCTGGTCTCGAACACCTGACCTCAAATGATCAGATAGCCTCAGCCTCCCAAAGTGCTGGGATTACTGGTGTCAACCACTGCACCAGGCCTTAAGTCTGTATTTAGAAAACAACATGTACACAGATACTAATGCAATGTTTATTAACCAGGTCAAATGTGCTCAATAAGATTTTACAGAGCACTGTAATAACACATTGTGGGACTTAATTCTAATAACACCGTATATGTTGATACTAAGTGTTCAATAATTCCAAATATTTAGAAAATAATTTTTATTTATGCCCGTTTCTCTGTTATTGATTTTATTTAAAAAAAAATGTATAAAATAAAATCTAAATACAAACAGACATGAGTCAAACAGAAATGGAAGAGTTTGATGTCATTCACAAAACTTTGTATGGTGTTTATATTCACTTTTTATGACTTGTAAAGAAACTGCTAGATCTGCAGGACAGAAAACAAGTTGCTAAATAGAATGTCTCTGCAAGCACTAATTTTAAAGTTAAGAATTTTTTTTTTTTTTTGAGACGGAGTTCCACTCTTGCTACCCAGGCTGGAGTGCAATGGCGCCATCTCGGCTCACCACAACCTCTGCCTCCTGGGTTCAGGCAATTCTCCTGCCTCAGCCTCCTGAGTAGCTGGGATTACAGGCATGCGCTACCATGCCCAGCTAATTTTTTGTATTTTTGGTAGAGACGGGGTTTCACCATGTTGACCAGGATGGTCTCAATCTCTTGACCTCATGATCCCCCCACCTCAGCCTCCCAAAGTGCTGGGATTACAGGCCTGAACTACCGCGCCTGGCCTAAAGTTAACAATTTTAAAATGAGACCCTAAAATGCATACTTTATGTTTCTCATTTATCTACTTTTCGGTTTCAGAAAACTCTGAGCACCAGCTCTAAAAGTAGAACAAGATTCATCACTCAAAACTCTGATCTCTTCTATTCAGTTCTGTGATGTGAGACTCCAAGGTAGGGCCAGACCTAAATAAAGCCTCCAAAAAGGGTGAATCTGAATAGGGCTGGGTCAGGGAGTGGACCCTATGTAGAATCTGGTTCTCTATACTACTGGGTGTATTTCCAGTTCTGTTTTTCTTAAACTTACCTAAAAGAACTTAAATTTCAGAGTTTGTGTAATTTTAATCTTTTTGAGCCACTGCCCTGTCAATTTCATATCATATACTAATAAGCAATTGAAACAAATCACTTTCCATTTTCTAGGATAATTTTTTTAGGAGATAAATATGTATTGTTAACAAGGTACAAATATACAAATAATAGGCTGGGTGTGGTGGCTCATGCCTGTAACCCTAGTACTTAGGGAGGCCAAAGCAGGCATTCCACACCAGCCAGGCCAACATGAAGAAACTCAGTCTCTACTAAAAATACAAAAATTAGCTGGGTGTGGTGGCCCAGACCTATAATCCCTGCTACTGTGGAGGCTGAGGCAGGAGAATCACTTGAACCCAGAAGGCAGAGGTTGCAGTGAGCTCAGATCAAGCCACTGCACCCCTACCTGGGCAACAGGGTGAGACTCCATCCCCACCCACCCGGAAAAAGTAAATACAAATAATAATAACAATTATGCTGCTCATAAATCTCCCTTCTGATGAAAACATCAGAAGTCAGAACAATATAAAGAAAGTGAGGGCCAGGTGTTGTGGCTTACGCCTGTAATCTCAGCACTTTGGGAGGCCAAAGCAGGTGGATCACCTGAGTTTGGGAGTTTAAAACCAGCCTGACCATGGAGAAACCCCGTCTGTACTAAAATAAAAATACAAAATTAGCCAGGCCTGGTGTCTCATGCCTGTAATCACAGCTACTTGCGAGGCTGAGACAGGAGAATCATTTTAACTTGGGGAGCAGAGGTTGTGGTGAGCCCAGATTGCGCCAATGCATTCCAGCCTGGGCAACAAGAAAATCCTCTGTCTCAAAGAATATAAAAGTAAAAAGAAAGTGGTCCCAATAAAGCCCAAGATTTTGCACACATCTATTTATGGTACTCACCATATAATGCATAATTCAACCTTTAATCCAGATGATAATATAGACCAAAAGTTTCTTGATTGTAGGGATTATGTCTGCTTTATCCGTTTTTCTATTGACTATATGATAGGAAAGCCAATTGACTTATGTGTTTCAGTTCCAGTGTTTCAGTTCCATACCTCCTTCTTGTTTTTCACTCAAGTACAAGGAAAGTGGAGAAACTCTCGTTTGGGCACCAATCAAAAACATTTCTTCTATAAGGTGAAGAACAAACACAGAATAAGTCATTTCTCTTAGACTGAGACAGAAGTAGAATTAACCACTCTTGTCAACCTAATAAAATTCTGCTCTGGACATTCTCAAATAACTCAAAGATGCCTAGGTGATTGTGATAGGGTTCCCAGTGACCCTGTGCTGGTGGACATGTCAGGCAGGACAGAGGCTAATTCTTTTCTGTTTATTATTATTTTTTATTGAAATGGAGTCTCGCAGCCAGGCACGGTGCCTTATGCCTATAATCCCAGCACTTTGGGAGGCCGAGATGGGTGGATCATGAGGTCAGGAGTTCACGACCAGCCTGGCCAAGATGATGAAACCCCATCTCTATTAAAAAAATAAAATTAAAATGCAAAATAAAAGAGGTGGAGTCTTGCTCTGTTGCCAAGGCTAGAGTGCAGTGATGTAATATTGGCTCACTGCAACATCCGCCTCCCAAGTTCAAGCAATTTTCCTGCCTTAGCCTCCCAAGTAACTGGGACTACAGGTGCATGCCACCACACTGGGCTATTTGTATTTTTAGTAGAGATGTGGTTTCACCATGTTGGCCAGGCTGGGCTCAAACTACTGACCTTAGGTGATCCACCCGCCTTGACCTCCCAATGTGCTGGGATTACAGGCATGAGCCACCATGCCCAGACAATTCAGGCTGATTCTTAAAAAAAAAAAAAAAAAATGGACCTGCCCTAGTGAAGCTCGAGAACCTGAATTACCTGTCAAGATGAGCTAGCTCTTGGGGAAGAGAAAAAAACAAGAATACTGTACTCCAGTGTCATATTTTTATGCAAAGGTATAGTTGTGCTTATGGCTCTGGATAGTTCAGTCTTGATCTTTCACTCCTAAGATACTTGTTTACACTTAAAGATTCTGCCATCAGATTCTATTTACTCTTCGAGCCTCTCACAGAACTGCAGCAGATCACTGAACAAGACCTGAAAAGCTCAAAAGAGCCACACTCTGAAAGATCTCTGTGTTGACAGCCTGCAATGCAGAAAATGCCTCCTCTTTGTTTTCTGCACATGTTCTATCCAAAGTCTACATTGTCTTGTAAATACAAGGCAGAGGACAAAACTTATATGAAGATTCTAGGTGGGATTAACCTCGCTCTACAGTTATGAGTGTTACAGCAAGTAAAGTACAGTTCAAAGAGAGATTTCCTCACATCATGTCCCTGACAGAGCAAGACTATATTTAAAAAAAAAAAAAAAAAAAAAAAAAAAAAAACAGTGGATTTGTAAAACCAAAAAGAAACAACAGAGTGAACTGATAAAAAGTTATTTCTCGGACAGGCACAGTGGCTCACACCTGTAATTCCAGCACTTTGGGAGAGCAAGAGGGGGTGAATCACCTGAGGTCAGGAGTTCGAGACCAGCCTGGCCAAAATGGTGAAACCCTGTCTCCACTAAAAATACAAAAATTAGCCAGGTGTAACAGTAGGTGCCTGTAATACCAGCTACGTGGGAGGCTGAGGCAGGAGAGCCACTTGAACCTGGGAGGCTAAGGTTATATTCAGCCAAGATCGTTATTGCACTCCAGCCTGGAAAACAAAAGCAAGACTATCTCTCGTAAAAAGCAGAAAAATAAAAGAGGCCAGGAGTTCAAGACCAGCAAGGCCAAGATAGTGAAACCCTGTCTCTAATAAAAATACAAAAATGTTAGCTAGACTACACACTGGGGTCCATTGAAGGGGAAATAGGGGAGGGATGACGGGGTGGGGAGGTGAGAAGAGACAGCATGGGGAGAAATGACAGATATAGGTGAGGGGAAGGAAGGCAGCAAATCACACTGCCATGTGTGTACCTATGCAACAATCTTGCATGTTCTTCACATGTACCCCAAAACCTAAAATGCAATAAAAACAAATGTTAGCTGGGCATGGTGGCAGGTACCTGGAATCTCTGCTACTCAGGAGACTGAGGCAGGACAACTGCTTGAACCTGGTAGGTGGAGGCTGCTGTGAGCCGAGATGGTGCCACTGCACTCCAGCCTGTGTGACAGAGTGAGACTCTATTAAAATAAAAAAAGTTGTTTCTCAGGCAGTCTTTTTTTTTTTTTTTTGGTCATTGGTTATCAGTAGCTTTTTATAAAAGAGAGATATGGAAACTATTTACATGATAAAAGATTTCAGAACTTCAGTAGAATGGGCTGCTTCACGTTGATGCCATTTCAATAGTGATTTATTTCAGTCTACGTACTTTCCAAGAATGTCACCGTCTCTAAATAGAAAATAATCCTTGTCACCTAGAACTATTTCGGTGCCTCCACATTCTGGGAGAAGAACTTTATCTCCAACTTTCACACTAACTGGTTGAATATCTCCACCCTTTCCTTTAGAACCTGATCCAACAGTGACTACTGTTGCTTGCAATACTTTTCGTTGAGATTTTTCTGGAAGCATAATGCCTCCTTTGGTTACAGTTTCAGCAGCATTCCTTTCAAGCAATACGCTGTCAAAAAGTGGAAGAAATAGGAGTCTTCTTTATTGAAAGAAATAACTTTGATTATGGATTGGCTATACATCACTAAGGGTTAGGGCAGGCGTCCCCAAACTACAGCCCGTGGGCCACATGCAGCCCCGGGGCCATTTATCCAGCCCCCCGCCACACTTCAGGAAGGGGCACCTCTTTCATTGGTGGTCAGTGAGAGGAGGACAGTATGTGGCGGCCCTCCAACAGTCTGAGGGACAGTGAACTGGCCCCCTGTGTAAAAAGTTTGGGGACGCCTGGGTTAGGGTATACAATATAGTGTCGTCTGTGGCATTATTAGTTTAATTTATACATACTTGTGGCAATCGTGAACAGTTTCAAGAGATAGGTAGTTGAAAGGTGGAGAAAGACATAACTGTGCTCTCATTTTAATGTCTCTCTGAGTTTGATAACTAAAAGGACTTTCATTCCTCAGATAAGATCTCAAGAACTAGATTTATAATTGGAGGCTGCAGATTTAGGTCCAAAATGGGTGGAGTAGCAGCACATGCTACCTGCACATTTGAGCATTTTAGCAAGAGGAGAAAAAGGAAAGTGGAGATTCTCATGTCTGCATGTCTACTAAATGCACTCATGTTACTCTAATTGCGTTTCTAGGACCCATGAGCTCTCAATCCGTTTTAGGTATTACAATGCAAGAGTCAGTGAAAGAGGTAAAATGATTGACTGCTCCCCTGCAAAGTGTGTAGTAATCTCATCTAGCCTCTCTAGAAGCGACTGTAGAGGACTATAGATACCAAACAGGCAGAGACATAATTCTGCCTGCATGTTCAGGAGATAACATGCACTTTACAGCATAAGTGTAAGTTGACGTAAAGCCTGGAAGGGAAAGGCCCCTCTAGAGTAAAGCTTGGTAGGAACCTTATGTGTTTATGTCATGTCTTCTAATTCTAGACAGTGTTTGGGAAATATAATTACAAGAAATATTTTCTCCAGCCCCAGGAAAACTCCACAATAATACGACTGTTAGAAAACAAAACTGAAAGGCTGGGTGCAGTGGTTCACACATGTAATCCCACCATTTAGGAGGCCCGGGTGGGCAAATCACCTCATTTTAGGTGTTTGAGAACAACCTGACCAACATAAAGAAACCTCATCTCTACTAAAAATATAAAATTAGCTGGGAGTGGTGACAAATGATTGTAATCCCAGCTACTCAGGAGGTTGAGGCAGGAGAATCACTTAAAAGCTGGAGGCAGAGATTGCAATGAGCCAAGATTGCGCCATTGCAGTTCAGCCTGGGCAAAAAAAATGAAACTGCCAGAAAACAAAAAACGGGGAGGGGTAGGAAAGGAGAGGGGAGGGGAGGTGGGGGAAGAAAAAGAGAAAGAGAAAACAAAACAAAACTATAAGCCAGGTGTGGTGGCTCACGCCTGTAATCCCAACACCTTGGGAGGCCGAGGCGGGCAGATCACGAGGTCAAAAGTTTAAGACCAGCCTGGCCATATGGTGAAAGTCTGTCTCTACTAAAAATACAAAAATTAGCTGGGCATGGTGGCACATTCCTGTAATCCCAGCTGCTCGGGAGGCTGCAGTAGGACAATGGCTTGAACTCAGGAGGCAGTGCTTGCAGTGAGCTCAGATAATGCCACTGCCCTCCAGCCTGGACGACAGAGGGAGACTGCATACCCCCCCTCAAAGAAAAAAAAACCACAGCATTTTAACTTAATAAAAGACACTAAAATTATGCTTACCTACAATTATCTGTATTGGATAAATTAAGCATGTCAGACTAATACCTACAGTAAGTTTGGTAGTAAATTTTCTTTGAATATTAGATATAAATATCTGTTAATAATTTTAATATACTACTCATAATGTATGTAGGATTTTGAAAAATTGTAACTAGTACAGATAAAACACTATATTACAAAAGTATGAGCAACAATATTAAAACAACTATTTATGGTATTTATTCAAAGTAAATATTGTTGCCAAATATTCATACTATTATAGAATATACTGTTTTAATTTATATAAATGCAGGTTGTCTAAAAAACACTACACATAACTATGCTAATTGTTTTAAAGTAATAAACAGAAAAAATGTAAAACTACAGACTTCATTGTTCAGTTTACACACTAAACTATTTTTGCTTTTGCATTGTAGGTACTGCAGCCTGCAAATAATTACCTGGATAATTACATTTCTGTCAAAGAAACTTACTCTGTATTTTTTAGTCTTTATCATCTGTACTGCTAACTTTGATCCCACCATTAAATAAACCTTTGCCAAAGCAAAAACAAAGCAATAAACCTTAGGTCTCAAATAAAGACAATCCTGAGTCAAAAAGAATGACAAAAGGTTTATTTAGCTGTTAGTATAATTTACATGTATTTCAAAAAAGCAGAGAAAAAAATCTACATATAATCTAAATGCTTTAATACAAGAGATGAACAAAACATTCTCCCCTATTTTCACATATGTGAATAAAGTCTCTTATTTTTAATTTATATTTTCTCCTAAAATAACTAGGTCCGTAAACATATTC